TTGAGAATATTGTCAGTGGAATGGCAGATGGTAGTATGTGCAAGAAAGGTGTGCAGATGGTATGACAGTTGGCAGTATATGCAAGAAAGAAGTACAAAGTGTATGACATAGGAAAGTGTGTGGAGGGGATAAATACATGGGGTATGACAGGAGAAGTGTAGTAAGTAGGACAAATGACATTGTGTGCTGTAGGGGAGTGCGGAGGGTATGATGGTGGGCAATATGTGCAGAAGAGGAGTGTGGAAGCAATGTTGGGGGAAGTATGTGCAGAACAGGAGTAATGTGGTGCACTGAAGTTTTTTTTAGGGTTATCCCAGTTATGCTGAACACTGGGTGCTGAGGGGTTAAGGCACTTGTACTGGGCACAGAAGGTTCATTACACATATGCTGGGGTCTGAGTGCTGAGGGTTGCCACATGTGCTGGTGACTGGCCACTGAAGGGTAAGTGCACAGGCACTAGCTACTGGCTGCTGAAGGATAAATGCACATAAGCAGAATAATATGTACTATGTGCTAAGGGTTTAACATACATGGGCGCCTAAACTGGGGACTGGGCATTAAGAGGTTAATGTTTACATACCAGGAACAGGTCACTGAGGACTTAATGCACAAAACTCTGAATTTTCATCACTAAAAAGTTGATGCATGTGCTCTTTAACCATATTGCATCCAATTCAGATAGGTCACTGAGGGGGTTACGGTTTTTAAGCTGGGGGTAGGTGACCAAGGGGTTAATTTTTATTATATGGCAGCTGATCACAGCGGGGTTATTTCACATACACTGGTTACCAAAGTAGTTAATGCAGATTACTACAGACTGGTCACTAATGTGTTAATGTACAAACCTTTCTGGTATAAAACTGGATGGAGAGCTCTTTGTTTTGGAGGAACATCTAAGTGCGAGTATTGATCAGACATGTGCGATTTGTTTCGCTACGAATCGAAATTCGGACGAAATTTCGGAGATTCGGACGTATCCGAATTACAGGTATAACGAATGCAAACGAATCCGAATTTCCGATTCGTGTTTTTTGGACGAAAATTCCGAAACTAATTGACTTTCGGACCCGAATTCCGAAAAACAAAATAAAGCAAAATCCGAATCGAAACAAAACTAATTTTTTGCTGGTGCACATGCCTAGTATTGATGTTGGAGAGGGAGGTGTATGTGCTGGGGGAGGGATGCAGGGGAAAGACCAACATGTGTCCACATACATACATACACAAAAAATGCTGGACTAGACTCACACTTTACAGTTGCTAAGAAGCACTGAGAATCATACTTCTGCAGAAGGGGACAACAGGCATACAAGGGAAAGACGTGTGTGTGTGCGTGCGCGTGTGCTGGAGGGAGGCACTTACAGGGGAAAGACCAGTGTGTGTGCGCGCTGAAGGTGCGATCTTACATGGGAAAGACCAATGTGTGTGTGCTGGAGGTGCGATCTTACAAGGGAAAGACCGATGTGTGTGTGCTGGAGGTGCGATCTTACAAGGGAAAGACCAATGTATGGGGGGCTTACAGGGGAAAGATCAGTGTGTGTGTGTGTGTGTGTGTGTGTGTGTGTGCACGCTGGAGATGGCATCACACTGGGGAAAGACGTGTGTGTGTGTGTGTGTGTGTGTATATATAGGAGATGGCATCACACTGGGGAAAGACGTGTGTGTAGGAGATGGCATCACACTGGGGAAAGACCAGTGTGTGTGTGTGTGTGTAGGAGATGGCATCACACTGGGGACAGACCAGTGTGTGTGCGTGCGTGCACGCTGGGGAAAGACCAATGTGTGTGTGCTGGAGATTGGATCACACTGGGGAAAGACCAGAGTGTGTGTGTGTGCATGCGTGCGTGCTGGAGATAGGATCACACTAGGGAAAGACCAAGACCAGACAGAATTCCCCAGTTGTTGAAGTTACACTCTGACTTAGGCATTATCTTCAAAGAGAGAGTGAACTGTGCTGTGAAAACCGAATACTGATTTGGGCATTATATTATGAAGGAAGAACTTCTCTGCTCTGTGAGATGGCACAGTATTTTAATAAGTGTACATTGTGTCTGCTGTATTGTAACATGTGGTTTGATTTCCGCACAGGCCGGCCAATTGCCTCAATATCCTTCGTCATATTTTAAAGTGGCTGACTAGGTGAGTACTACATTGACATCTAATTGCTTCTTTTTATATTCCAAGGGGTTTTTTCCCAAGCAGCTGCAGCTTTTTGCCACACCATGGTTCCATGTATTCTGTAACGTGCACATTGGACTGTGCATTTTGCCCTTAGATTTAGTAGTGCTCTGTTGTCAAGAGAGCAGCAGAACATTCTAAAAGACATTTCCTGGAAGTTTAGGCATAAACATTTCTCGAATATCACATTTCCCTGCAGTTTCACTGAGCACTTTCTTATTGATTTTGTCTAAGCTATCACTTTGCAAATGGTTTTGTAATGGAAGCCTTCAAAGCATACAAAACAAAGAGGAAATTTGTATTTGGCAGACAGATATACAACTGTACAAACAAGCCAGGTGACAGAGTCTAATGGGGCACAGGAGGAAGATGACTCATTCAGGAAGGTTATTTTAGAATATCCTGACTGCTGCCTTTCATTCATACCTGTAGCAGTCAGACTAAATGCTGCAAGACATAATGGGTACAGGAACTGGTGAAGATGGGTACAGGAACTGGTGAAGGCGCCCTGTGCGAGAAAGCTTTACAGCACCCCTCAGTGGCCACACCCATTTTTCCCACTATCCGCACCATTTAAAGACTCCTATTTTGTTAAGCCGCAAACAAAAATATATTAAAAGTATGATAAAAATAAAACTTTTATTCAAAAGTATTAAACTTGTAGGCACAATATACAGGTGAAAGTCGAATAATTAGAATATCGTGCAAAGTTCATTTATTTCACTAATGCGACTTAAAAGGTGAAACTAATATATGAGATAGACTCATTACATGCAAAGCAAGATAGTTCAAGCCGTGATTTGTCATAATTGTGATGCTTATGGCTTACAGCTCATGAAAACCCCAAGAACCCCAAATCCACAACCTCAAAAAAGTAGATTATTGCATGCAATCAATAAAACAAGGATTGTACATAGAACAATATCGGACCTCTGAAAAGTACAAGCATGCATATGTACTCAGTACTTGGTTTGGGCCCCTTTTGCAGAACTTACTGCAATTACTTTTGCACGATATTCTAATTATTCGAGTTTCACCTGTAAGTATTCTTATCAAATAAAACAACAGAAGGCAAACAATAAATGTCAAACTACAATAGAGTCTATAAAAATAAAGTGTTAGGTTGTCATGCCGGTCCCTTTTTTCAAGTCAGTATATCTCGAAAAATTTAAAATAGAAAACAGAACACAAAACCTAGACTACGTGTAAAATGAATGAATTACTATTTGTCCGAATATACGAAAAATGCATTCAGGCGCATAACAATTTGTTTGAGAATGTGCGGCGGCCATGTTGGCCACCGGCGTGTTCTGTGAATGCGTGCCACCATCTTGGAGGCAGGGAGCATGACGTTACATGACATCAGGTGATGTCACACGCCGATATAGGCGCCGCCATCTTGGTGTATACCTGGATATACACCAAGATGGCGGCGCCCAACATGTGCGGTGTTATATGACGTCATGCGTCCTGCCTCCAGAACACGCCAATGGCTGAATCCAAAATAGCATAAAAATGTGTTTTGTTTGATGAAACGAATTAACGTTTTTAGTTTTCGTTCATTTCATGTGAAATTAAATGAAGGGGGGAGGGGGTCAGTTTTCACTTCTGTAAAATACTTTTTTATAAATTTTTTTTAAATGTATTTATTTATTACTGTTGGGGGGGGGGAGGGGGCTAGGCGGAAATATTAGACCCCTGACATTTCCCTTTTAAAATAGAAAAGAAATTGAGAGGCTCGATGGAACTTGTCTGTGCCCCCCTTCCCCACCTGCCAGTTCTACCATTCCTACACCTCCTCCCCTCTTCCCTCACCCTGTCTGTTCTTATCTCATTCTCATTCTTTCATGCTTAACCTCATATAGGGACGTACTAAGGGCCTAGTGCTCACAGAGCTGCATATGGTGTGCAGGGACAGACCCTGCTAGTTAACGATGACAGGCCGTGAGATTACCACGGCTAAGTATTGACTCTCATGCTAGCCGTCTACCTCTTGCAGATGCTGCCGAAATGCCCTATGTATGTTTTGTACGATTCCTATCTGTATTGTTTATACTCATTGTCTTTTATTCAACTTGAAAAATTATAAATAAAGAATTTATAAAAAAAGAAAAGAAATTGAGGACACCAAATCCTCAATTTCTTTTTCTACAGCCTCAGCACTCAATGAATGGGAAGCACTCAGTACAGAGGCTTCCCATTCATTCAGACACTGATAGTTAAATATTTACTATCAGCAGGTTCTGAATGGGGAGGAGCCTCTGTACTGAGTGCTTCTCCCCATTGAGGAAATCTTGACTGAACATGCTGTAATGTAAATCACAGCCTGTTCATTCATAGCTGGGGACACATAGTACTGTCCCCAGTCTCACACGGAGGACCGGTATATATCAATGATATTTACCGGTCCCCCTCTCTGCCACGCACAGAGCCGCGGTCATCCTGAAACTGACAGGATAACAGCGGCTCTGATCTCCCCCTCGCTCGGCCATCCTGACAGCAGGCAGCACTCCCTCCTGCGCCCCCCGCGGACGAGGGAGCGCTGTCATGTCGGATAGCCAGCGGTGAGGAGGAGAGAAGCCGCCCCGAGGACGAACTGTGTCGGCCGCCTGGCACCTTTGTTGGCATGGCGCCCTGTGCGGCCGCACAGCTCACACACCCCTAAGGCCGGCCCTGGTAGTCACTCTTTAAGTAAAGCTTAATTTTTCCTTTCCATGGGAGTAATTGAATTATACACCCATTAGCATTTCTGCAGTGTAAAGAAAGGGTTTTTGAACATATAATGCCATTATTGTTGTCAGGGGAGGGGCACATATACCATGTAGCCTCAATCTCATTGCCCTACTGTATTTTACACAATAATGCACTACACAGCTATCGGTATTTAAATATACACGATCAGCCATAACATTATGACCACTGATCGGTGAAGTGAATAATATTGATTATCTTGTTATAATGGCACCTGCAAGTGGATGGGATATATTAGGTAGCAAGTGAACATTTTGTCCCTAAGGTTATCCCATGTGTTGGAAAAAAATGGGAAACGTAAGGATTTGAGCAACTTTGACAAGGATGTTCCCTGTCTGCAGTGGTCAGGACCTACCAAAAGTGGTCCAAGGAAGGAAAACCAATGAAACGGCTATAGGGTCATGGCCGGCCTAGGCTCATTATTGCGCATGGGGAGTGAAGGCTGACCTGTGTAGTCCAAGCCAATAGAAGAGTAGCTGTAGCTCAAATTGCTGAAATATACCACAGTATACTTTCAAAGGTCTAGTGGAGTCCATGCCTCAGGGAGTCAGGGCTGTTTTAGCGGCAAAAGGGGGACCTACTCAATATTAGGTGGGAGGTCAAATTGTTATGGCTAATCAGTGTATGTGTAATACAAATCCTGAATGCAAAATAGACATACATGATATTTGCATCATTTAAGACATAACGTAGATTCCATTTCATATTCAGAACATCATATATAGCAACAATGCAGTGCACTCTACAAATCATAATCCATGAGGGTAGCTGTCTTCTGCATACTATTGTCATATACACTGAGTGGCCAGATTATTATGACCACATGACGTTTGTAGGCAAATAGTGGGGCATGTTCTCATGGCATGATTTGGGCCCTTTAATTCGTGTGGAACAACGTCTGAATAGCACAACATACCAAAGTATCATTGCTGATCAAGTTCATCCTATCATGTTGATGGTGTATCCCAATGGAGATGCCTTCTTCCAACAAGACAATGCGCCATGCCACGGTGCTTGTATTGTGCAGGAGTGGTTTCAAGAACATGAGGGAGACTTTACCTTGCTTAGGTGGCCCCCACAATCGCCAGCTCTCAATCCAATTGAGCATTTGTGGGACGAAGTTGAAAGAGCCATCAGGCAGCTGGTTCCACAACCATCAAATCTCACAGAACTGGACAGTACTATTCATCAGGCATGGTGTCAGATTCCTCGCATCATCTTTCAACATCTCGTGGAGTCAATGCCAAGAAGAATCGCCACAGTATTGAAGGCAAAAGGTGGCCCAACGAAGTACTGATGGGGTGGTCATAATAATCTGGCCACTCAATGTATAGTTGTCACTCCCTGTGTCTAGTGCTCACAGCAGCTTATTGGAGCTCCCTCTATTCTTTTCATGCCAGGTCACACCATTCAGCAGCATGCCTCCAGGCAATCAGTAGGCTGAAGAAGGGTATACACGGGTAGATTTTTGCACGACCATTCACACAAAAAATCCCGTCATAACATTAAATACAAGCATCAGAAACTTGCTGATTGTCGTTCGAAATTTTGTTTAATTTAAGTTTTTATTAAAAGTGATATTAATGCTTTGGGTTTTTAAAAACAATATTTATAACTAGGAGGCCCACCTTTTCTATAAAACTTGTGTTCTTCTTTAAAAGTTTTCAGTTTCTCATTTTCTAATGGGTCCCCACATCTCTCTGTACGGGTGCCTCAATTAGCTAAGCGGCTGCTGTGGAGGCATCCGTGTGTGTGCGTTCCCGGCCGTGCCAGCAGTAACTGTATGCGATCACAGACACGCGCAGCCCTGCGGCAGGCTACGCCCCTCCTCTCCACCCAACAGTTTGATTAATGGCAGATGGAGCCTGTGGCTCCTCTGTCTTCAGTACCCTCTCAACCACAACCCCCCCCCCTTCCCAAACAATAAATTCGGGAAGCGGAGGATCGCTTCAGGACCGGTGGCGGTGACAGCAGTGACACAGGTAAGTGAGAGAGGGACGAGGGAGAGAAAAAGGTACTGGGCAGTTTTTACCCTAATACAGAGAATGCATTAAGGTAAAGAACACCCAGACTTCAATACTACTTTAACATTAGAGCTGCAGCTAACGATTATTTTTAAAATCGATTAGTTAGCCGATTATTAAGTTTGATTAATCGGTTAATCGGATAAACAATAAAAAAAAAAAAAAATGGCTCCAGTGATGGGACTACTAGTTTGTATTGAGATTGTAGTCCATCACAGGAGCAAGCTTGGAGCGGTGGAAAAAATAGTGTGGTGTGCAATATAGTGAAAAGGAAAGTGTAAAATTATACAGCAATGAATGCAGAATTGCACCGGCTATAGAGGACTACAAATCCCAGCAATAGTACATTATACAGCGCAATGCAAAATATCACCAGCTATAGAGGACTACAACAAATCCCAGCAATAGTACATTATAGCTGGTGGTATTCTGCATTGCGCTGTATAATGTACTATTGCTGGGATTTGTAGTCCTCTATACAGT